GCTCTCCCTGGCTCCCCAGTAGATGGGTAGGAACTTGCTCCTGGTTTATAAATATTCAGCGACAGCAAAGCCCATTAATGTTGCATTAGGGCTGTGAATCGGAAACCCCCAAAGCCAGGCAGCTCAGTGCTGCAGCTGCAGCACGATCTGGGTCCCATCCCGCTCCAACCGAGGCTCCTCGGGCTGCCAGGACACCTCATGGCTGCAGCAATGTGCTGTTGAAGAGCAGCGCTTCAACCACTGCACACCAGCACCCTCGCCCCTGGTAACATGGACCAGTAGAAGCCAAAGAAAAGGAGGGCACAGTGTCTCTAACTCTCAGCCACCAAATCTCCCACCCCATGGAGTGCAATGGTTGTAAGCTGAGGGCTGGGTGGGATTTTGGAGTGGGATATTCCAGGAGCCAGACATGACCCCCTGGAGCAGAATGTCTCCAAATATGGCCAACTTTTTTGGGGAACAATGTGAAGCCCCTTGGCTGCAGAGTGAAGCTGCCTGGGTCTCATGGGCTGCTCCCTCCACCCGGCAGCGTGCGCTGAACCTCATCTCCAGGAATAGGCAGCAATGCACGTATTAAAACAGAAGCTGGAGAAAGGAGTTACATCTGTGCAGAGCAGCGATCCAAGTGTTACTATCGGGACCAAATTTTCTCACTTCCAGGAGAGCAGCTCTGAATGTGACAGTCTGCAGACTTGGGCATCGGTTTCAGCCAGCTTCCTCATCACACCGTGTTCTGCAGATCCACCTAGCAGCCATGTCCCCTCCACTCCAGCAGCATGTCATTGAGCTGGAGGTGACAGAAGATGCAGCAGTTGGGTGGGAAAGGGGGCTCACAGAGGGAAGAGAGGGTCTGATGCTTTGAGGAGGCAGTAGGGAGAGAGGGAACCTTGTGTGGGCACTGAAATAAAGGGCCACTGGAAGATTGGCTTTTGGGAATGAAAGGCCCCTGCTATGTCCCCTACAATGGCTGAACAGATGTTCTCCTCCATAGCTTGTGCCACTGCTGCTGTGCGCAGGGTTGGCTTCCAAAAGGGATGAACCAAAGGGGGTGGTTGGGTCTGAGAGAAGCAGCTCATGAGCTCGGAAGAGCCAGCTCCTACAGTCACATCTTGATCCTGGCCATTGTGGTAAACCCCTCCTCCCTTTCTTCTTGCTGCTGCTGTGCCTCTTGCCCCACAAACCGTCCCCACTCCTCCCTCCGGAGCTGCTGGACAGCCACAGGGGAGCACACCCCTGCCTGGCATGCGGAGAGCCGGAGGTCAGGATATACATGCAAAAAATGTCGAGGTCTGGAAGAGGGGATGGGAGGGACAGGTCCCTCTGGGCTGGAGCAAGGTTCAGTGGCTCTGAAGGATGCCGGGAGCCTCCCTTTCCATAGAGCTGGGCAGTGCATGAAGCTGTCTTTGAGCTCCTGAAAGAGAAAAACACTGGGCAAGAAACTGCTAAAGTTAATATTGCTGCTCACCTGAAACAGTAAAAAACTGAATGAGAAAAGGGGATGTACATTTCACCAGAGATAAGAAACACATTTTATAACAACAAATGTTAGAGACAATAAAATAAGTTGCCTGACCCACATGGTTTAGATAGGGGATGATCAGAAGATAGGGAAAGGTCATTTAGGAAAGCAGCAAAGAATAGAGGCTTTGCCTACTGAGGAATAAATGCTGGGGGTAGCAGTTTCCCCAGATTTAGGGATAGGGAAAACCTGAGGATCATGGGAAGGGAGCATGTATGGTTAGAACCACTGGCTCTTGGGGCTGTACAGTGTTAGGGAGCCAAGCAACTGACTTTAAATGGATGCTGCTGAACTGACAATGTTTAGGAAAAACTTTGAGAACAGAAAAATAGCAAGGAACTTTCATGAAGAATGAGAGTCTGAAGCTCTCGTTCCCTGGCTGAGGATGTTGCAGTAACACACACCGGAATGTGTGCGGGTGACTGCTGCCCCAGTCACAAAGAAAGGGTTTAATGTCTCCCAAGGTCCATCCCCTGTCTGTGAAAGTCGTGTCTTGTGACTGGAAATAAGGAGCTACATGACTGATGTGCTCTGTTACGCAGTGGGCTTTTGTGCCACTAGAGCCAAATCCAACACAGTTTTGACTAAGGGTGCCACACCTTCTTCCTGTAATTTCTAGTTAAAATAGGGGTGGAGAGATGTGCCTCAGCACAGTGAGTGTCAGGGCTTTCCCTTGAGCTGAGAACCCAGAGTTTACAGAATCCCAGACTGGTTTGGGTTGGAAGGGACCTTAAAGCTCATCCAGTTCCAACCCCTGCCACAGGCAGGGACACCTTCCACTAGAGCAGCTTGCTCCAAGCCCTGTCCAACCTGCAATGGGCAGGTCACAGGGGTGGGATGAGGTCTCCACTCACAAAGTCCCTGCACGCTGTACGGTTTAAGACAAGATCGATCAGGCTGCATTCAAGGCAATTGCTCGTTCCTTTTAGCAGTAAGCATCCATGCATGGGAGACAGGGTCTTTGGAGAAGTCGTTTTAACCCATGGAAATAGCACCTGTTGGACCTGGGCTTGTGGAGGCTGTATTTGTGTGGGTATCATGAGCTGCTTCCCACTGTGTACAACCAGCCTGCAACCAGTGAACCCAACGCTACCACATGTGTCACCCAAGCAAAGCTATCCCTCATTCTGCATGGGCAGCACAAAGACGTTCTTTGTGTCCCTCTTCTGAGACCTGATGACCAAAACTCTCAATTCAGTTATTTCTTTCAGCTTAGTCCTGAAATGTAGCACCAAACAGCTGCCTCCTTGCTCTGTGAACGTTGTGAATGCCCCATCCCTGGCAGTGTTCAAGGCCAGGTTGGACACAGGGGCTTGGAGCAAGCTGCTCTAGTGGAAGGTGTCCCTGCCTGTGGCAGGGCGTTGGAACTGGATGAGCTTTAAGGTCCTTTCCAACCCAAACCATTCTGTGATTCTTTGATCTCTGGTGTAGGGTTCAAGTTGGATGCTAAAGGACCTTCACACAAGGTCTCCATCCTGTGAAACGGGCTCGGCACAGGGGGAACAAGAAGCAACTCAAGGGAAAGGAGGTTTCCAGAGGCTGAAGGAAACCACCCTCAAACCCCAACAAAGCTCCTTGTGCTTCAGGCCATAAGCTGATCATCTGCGGGGGCAGGGAAGGAATTTGTCACCATCTGCCTCTTGTCTCTCTGCTGTGGGGAGTAATAAGCAAGTGAGGAGGGGAGGATTCAATGGTGTTATTAGGTGGAGAACGGCATCATTCCCCCTGTCTGCACAATGTAAATGAGTGTGTATTTTTCATAATGGGGGAATACATGCAGGGAGAGAGAAAAAATGTTTTAAAAAAGAAAGAAGGAAATGGGGGAGGGGGGAAATGAATCGATATAACAGAAGCATTAGGGTACTCAGGGGAGTGTTTTACTGGGGCCATTAATATACTTCTCAGGTGGTAAAAGCCACTTAGCCTTTAAAAATGATAATGAAATGTTAACTACCCAAAGCATTATTGCTGAGTCACGGAGAGCCAGGCAGCCCTTCATCTCCCATCTGATCCAGGGGTGCTGGCTACCACCAGCCCCCCCCAGCCCTGGGAGCGATGATCCGGCACATCATATCCTGCACGTGGGAGCTGGCACCCCACAGCCCCCGACACGCTGCTGCAGCACTGGCAACCAGCCACAGCCATCGAAGATCCCAACTGCCCACAGGCCACTGCAGCACTGGGTCTGCACCGGGACCCAGGCACTCCTCGTGGGAGAAGCCCCTGACTGCACGTATGGAGGCTGTGACCCTCTCAGAGAGTCCCAGACCGGTTTGTGTTGAAAGGGACCTTAAAGCTCACCCAGCTCCAACCCCTGCCACGGGCAGGGACACCTTCCATTAGAGCAGCTTGCTCCAAGCCCCTGTGTCCAACCTGGCCTTGAACACTGCCAGGGATGGGGCAGCCACAGCTTCTCTGGGCACCCTGTGCCAGCGCCTCAGCACCCTCACAGGGAAGAGCTTCTGCCTAAGAGCTCATCTCAGTCTCCCCTCTGGCAGGTTAAAGCCATTCCCCTTGGTCTGCCCCTACAGGCCCTTGTCCAAAGCCCCTCTCCAGGTTTCTTGTAGCCCCTTTAGGCACTGGAGCTGCTCTAAGGTCTCCCCTTCAGGAGCCTTCTCTTCTCCAGGCTGAACAAGCCTCGCTTGGCTGCAGAGGTTCCCATGCTGGTGGGAGCAGGGATGATCCTGATTGTCCAACTGCTGAGCCAGTGCAGGGATGTGATGTGCAGGGGAGGAAGATCCTGTCTTGGCTCCTAGGAGGTGGGACCAAGCAGCAGTGCAGCCTCATGCATTTCTACAGGAATAAAACAGTCTACATTCCACAAACCATTGGTGGTCGCAGGTACATGCCTCATAGCACCCTAAAACACTTGACCAGCATGAGGTCCTGGACACCCCCATGCTGAGGAATGCACTGAGTTTGGAGGCACTGGGCACCCCCAGATAAATGACCATCTCTGAAAACCATGGGGCTCAGATTCTAGCTGTGTGCTTGTCAACAGGGTCTTTTTCACCCGCGAGGGAGCAGGGATTCTCATTTCTCATCTTTTATGTATCTCTGAGTCTTATTTGATTGTGAAGGGCCCAAGCAGCCCCCTGCAGTGTCACATGAGGAAATTCAACGGGCCTGCATGGTCCAGCGAGCTGAAGTGTGAGATGAAGGTCTTCTCCTAGGACGATTCAGTGCCCAAGCAGAAAATTAATTTCCTTCCATCCATCTGTATATGACCCAAAACCTTCCCTCGTCAGGGAGATTATGAAGTTTTTTCCATGAATGTGGATTGAAAGTCAGAGGAGGCAGTGTCTGGAGGGACAGGGAGCAGTGTGGCTCCCATCACTCTCATCCACAGCACCTGAGACCCTTTTCTGTGGGATTCTTTCACCTGGGGGAGTTTTCACCTTCGTTAGTGAGGGCCTGGCAACAGCTGAAGCAGTGAAACACCTTTATTTACCCCTTCTGGCCCTAGGTGGAAGTTGCTGCATGTGAGGCAGTATGCTGTGTTTGGGAACGTTGGCTGTGGTGCACATTGTGATAACTGGAGCGCATAGGGATGAATTAAGGTAAGAGTGTTTGGGAACCTTGCGTGCCACCCGGTAGGTTGTGAGTGTATCCAACTATTTCTGAAGGCCATCCTGGCTGGTTTGGGGCTGCATTTCCCTGATAGCTTGTGGGTAGGTGTCCTGTTTGCCAGCATCTGTCTGACATTGCAGCCCTGAGCAAGCCTGACTGCAGGGTGTGCATCATGTCAGCATTGTCCGAGCTCAGGGTTGGCAGTGCAGTGATAGCTGATGCTGCATGTCCAGCTCTGCAGCTAGGATGGGGTGATGGAGGGACAAAAACACTTCTCATCTCCCTTCTCTGCCTCATCTCCATGCTTTGCTCCTCTGCTGGGGGAGGGATTAGCAGGCGGCAGCTCTGATGCCTGCAGGTCCTGCTGGAACACAAACTAGCAAAGCCTAGGTATGCATGATGGAGGCAGGACCGTCCCCATTGAGCCTGCAGCTTGCCTGGCATGCAGGAGGCAGATGTGCCCTGGAGCTGAGGGCTTGTGCCCCTAACCCCTAAACCAGAGAAGACAGAGTTCACCCTGAGGTGATGCAGAGAGTCTGCAGGTACAGCAGAGAGGGCATGCGAAGGGCATCTCCTTCCCTGAAATCAAAGGACATGGAAGGCTGCTGCATCCGCTGAGAGAAGCAGTTCTCAAGCTGCAGGTCACGACATGCCTGGAGTCATCTGGGGAACTGCTAACTGGGTCACGCTGCTCTGCAGGCTTCCACAGGGTCTGAATGGACCAGCCCTCCTCCCTTGCAACCCCACTGCTGAAGGAGCCCAACAAGCAGCCGTTCACCCAACTGGCACCGGCAGCCCCACTATTAAGGATAATGCAGGCGCCTCGCACTGAAGCTCTTTATCCCCAGCGCCCGCTGTGAACAAAATTGCCTGGGATCAGGTGGTGCCAGCCAATTTTTCTCGCAGCAGGGGCCGCAGGTAAAGCACCTCTGTGGAGAGGAGCTGCACTGCTCTGAACTTTCCTGTTGCCCGCCTGAACTCAGGGAATAGGAGAAGGGATATTGTGTGCACTCAAGCAGAAGCGGAGAAGATGCCAAGAAAGGAGAGAAGCAGATGGAAAAGACAGAGAAAGCTCAAGATGAGGAGAGAGCAGGAAGGAAGGAGCAGAGGAAGGATAAAGCAAGAGGGAGGTGAGAAAAGAGCTGGAGCTGGGATGCCACAAAGCAGTGGCCAAGGCAGCAAGAGAGCTGCATCTCCTCTTTCTTGTCCTACAAACCAGACACAGACGTGGCAGCAGCTAATCTTCCTGGCTCATGAACAAAAGGATTCTTTTCATGCCAGTAATCTAAGAGCTGCCATGCCACGGCTCTCCCAGCTCATCTGCTGTGAATGCACTTATGTGGCGTCCAACTGAACGGGTTAGCAAAATAAAGACAGATGGCAATGGATTAGCTCTAACACTTCTTCTGTATCACAATGCAATCACTGCAGTCTTCTCCACTGCCTCCTCTCGGGACAGTTTGCTTGCACTGCAGCTGTGCAGCCACCCCCAGTTACAGATCAGTGGCCCAGCTCCAGAGCCACGACTTTAGCACCGTGCAAGTAGGAAAGAATCACCGTGGGCTTTTGTGCTTGTTTCTTGGAAAACATATATTAGGGAGAGGCTGTGGTCCCAGTGAAGGGCAGGCACACAGCCACTTCTCTGTTGAAATGGGACTTCTTTGTTACAGATGAATCCATCAGTGGATGCAGGGCAGGCTCTAAGGCCTATGTTAATGAAGTAGATGCATTACTGAGCAGCATTTTTAATGTCTAGACCTCAAGAATGGGGATATCTCATGTGATCCATTAAATGTTAAGGCAGACATAGCAAGAAACAGAGATAGTAGGTTGATACCACATCTTTGCATCTTCGTAAGTCAACAAGAAGAGTAGTTTCTTATTCATGATTAATTACACTTTTTGCCCAAGTCAAGCTAGCTGCAGATGTAGGGCTTACAGCCAACCCAGTGCCAGCTAATGCAACATGAACATGCATTTCTGTTTGACAGAAAGTGTTCTGGTGACAGGCTATTGTTTTCCAGCCAGAAATTATGTGGGCATTCTAGCATCAAGTCCCGTAAAGAGCTGCTCTTTACTCCTCCATTAGAAAATATCCCTTCTAACTGCGTAACTTCTTTGTGCTGAACTGTCTCCACCTATAAATTGACCTCACTCCTGTCCAGGTGCAGTCTGTCTAATCTCAGTTTTACTTGGTTGTCAGCTCTGGTGCTACTGGTAACTTCAGGGATATTCAGGTTCCCAGGGTGGCCATGTTTCTGCCCTGCAGCATCAATTTCCTCATCTCATTCAGGCAGTTAATGGGAGATCTTCTCTTCTAACCCTGTTATTTTGGGAACTATCCCTTCTGACTCCTCATCCAAGATCACCACATGAACAAGCAGTTCCATTTGGTCAAGAAGGAGTTTTTCCCCATGAAACTGGGTATCCCTGAGAACACCTGCCAGGAACAATTCAACCAATTTTTCTTGGTTGATATTAAAAAGAAAAAGCTGATATTAGCTCCGTTTTTTAAAAAAAAAAAAAACAAGAAACTTCAGATTCTTGCTCCCTGAAAACCACCAAGACTTAATCAAAATTTTTGAAAAGAAGATTCCTTGCCTCTGCATTGGCTTTACAATTGACCAGTTTATTTATGACTTATAGGGGAGATAAGGCTCCAAGCAACCTGGTTTAGCCTTTAAATTAGCCCTGCTTTGAGCAGGAGGATGGAGCAGGCGACTGCTCAAGGTTCTTTTCAACTCAATGTCTGTAAGTTGAAGATCCCACTGGGATGCTCTAACCTTGCAGCTGATCCAAACAGCTTTTGGAGCTGTACCTGCCTAATGGATGTGCTAACTGTCCAATCTTACTTGCAAGTGCTGTTTAACCAGGCTATGTTCCCTGCTTAGCCAGTTGCACCTTTAGAGATGTCTTCCACTATTTTTGTGGCTATTTGATCAGAAGTATTCCTGGTAATCCTGTTTATGCCTAAAAATGCTGTTTGTTCTGATGCAGGAAGCCTTTGATCAGCTCAAGCAGATGTTTACATCAGTGTTCATATGGGCATTAAACTGCAAAGTCTTTCACTGCTGAGATAGATGCATTCAGCCATGTGATCAGAGCTGCATCCTTGCAGCATAAGGTGATCCACAGTGAACTTGAGCTATATACATTGAAATCCTCTTAGCTTGCACAACAACAGCAGTTTTCAGATCAGCCTTAAGAAAGTTATGGTTGTCAAATGTGCTCTCCACCAATGGCACTGTCATCTGTAAGGCACATGTTCCCTAGCCCAGGTATTCCCCAGTCAGAATAAACTCTTACTTAGAAGTTGAAGGAATCCATCTTCTACGAAGTCTCTGAATCAGCCCCAAATTTGGGTGGTTCTTCTTTTTTCTCTGAATTCACCTTTGCTGTAATGCACCATTCCAGCTTTTAGAAAGCAACTCTGATGCCTGCAAGAAACCTGGAGAGGGGCTTTGAACAAGGGCCTGTAGGGACAGGCCAAGGGGAATGGCTTTAACCTGCCAGAGGGGAGACTGAGATGAGCTCTTAGGCAGAAGCTCTTCCCTGTGAGGGTGCTGAGGCGCTGGCACAGGGTGCCCAGAGAAGCTGTGGCTGCCCCATCCCTGGCAGCGTTCAAGGCCAGGTTGGACACAGGTCTTTAAGGTCCATTCCAACCCAAATCTTTTCATGGTTCTAGGACAGCATGTGTGATACTTGCCCTGAGCAGGGCCAGAACACACCCTGGAGATGCTTGGATTGAAGGCAGCCCTCCACATACTGAATCTCTTCAACATTGAACAAGGCATGTTTCCCTTTGTAAAATAGAAGACCTGCTCTTGGTTGCATTCACAGGTCTGCCCAAGCCAGGCTGAGAGCACAGCCTCAATTTTGACACTTCTTGTCTTCAGGGCACTTGAGTTTTTTTTGCAACTTCCTCTGCATGTTTTCTTTCTCTTGTGCAAGGTAGAATTGGACAGGCAGCCAAACACCAGGCACCGAATGCCTGCTGATGACAGCCTGCCTATGGCTCTAGGCTCCTTCAGGATGCTAACAATAGACAAGCGATTATCATCCCTCCCATGCGTAGGAAGGGTCTTGCAGTGGTGATTGCAATCACAGCCCACAGCACAGCTGCCCATGAGAAGTGCACATGGCTTTTAGGGATGCAGTTTGAGAACCAGCAACTGCTCCTTTTGCAACCTGACCAGCTCAGAGGCTATTTCCAGCTATCTACTTCCCATGGCATTACCTCTCCCCAAAATTATGCCTTCCTTACTTGGCTGCACTTTTGCTCCTATTGCCAAAAGCTCCTAGGGATCCAGAGCTTGGCACTGTGGACTGTTGCCTCCTCTGTGGAAGCAGCATGCCAGTTTGCTGCCAGCTTGGCTCTATTCTGCAGAGACACTGCAGTTCTCCCTCCATGCATCCTGAAATAAAAGGCTGCGGTGGTTGCAGATGAGGATTCAGCCCCTGTGCTTCTCAGGCCCCACTGAAGACCTTGTCCCCTCAAGCAGAAATGGGGTCTCTAGCACACAGCTCCTCTCCTTGCAACGGCCTCAGTCATTTGGTTTGTAAACAGCTTGGGAGAAAGTGGAAAAGGGGAAAGAAAGGAGGCATTTGGGACAGAGAAATCTGGAAAGGTTCAGCCGCAGCAAAACATGAAACTGCAGCTAGCACAGGTTCATCTTCGCCATAAACCTCCTAAGCCAGTTCTGCACTTTGCATCTGGATGTGTTTCATTCCCTATCAATGTTCATTAGAAGCTGCCCAGCACTAAGCTGCCTGCTTGGGAATAATTAGGTCCATTCTCTGAAGGTCATGACAGTGCTAACATCATAACTTCTCTTTCTCTGAACATCCAGACAGTTGGATGCTGTGAGCAACCATTAAAGTGCATCCTTGAAGTGCTCCTAGTCCCTCACTGGGAACACAAGCACAGTGGGGCAGCACGGACAACCAGTTTGGTGCTGCTATGAATTATTTTTATAGCAGATATCAAAGTTGTCATGCAACTTTGCTGCTTAAGCTGGAGACAACAAAGGGCTGGGAAAAGGGAGGAGAGACGGGATACGGATTAAACCCGAGGTAAAATGTTATATTTGAGCTTTTACTCCCGTTGCAAGGCCAGGGCTCTTCATTCATTCACAGGCAGAGCAGTAGTTCCATGACAGTGTTTTAGGTGGGTGGGTCACCATAACTCTTCCCAGCCCTTACGCCCATGGCCTTGAGCACTGAAAGGAGTTTTCAGTGGCTCATGCGTCACTGTGAGCGAGCCAAGGAAGCCCCAGGGACCGCATCAGCTTTGAAGACACTACTGAGGGTACAGGCTGTGCAAATGGGGGCATGGGAGCTGCTGGTTCACGGCAGAGTGGCCTCCTGTTGGGTTTTGTGGCCGGGCTGGGAGGCAGCGGTTCAGCCTCCCATGGGATGGGAAGGATCCACTTCCAGCTGTGGATCAACCACTTTCTAACCATGGGCACATAACTCGAGTGTCTCAGCAGCTCCCAGGCCTCATCTGAGAGCTGCCTGGTGGGCTGTGGTCAGCAAAGACAGGGTTGGGGAAACGGGGGAGGCTGTGTCAGTTCTGTTGTTGTTGCATGAGCTGCCTGGCCTTTGCTGCCACAGTGCGTAGCCTGGGAGGGCTTCCATCACATGTGCTTGTGGAGGCTTTGGTCCCGGGACGGCTGACACCTCTGTAGGACATGAAACTCTTCACGTCTGCCAGGTGGCTCTAGCTGTCCTTGAGAAGCACTGTGCTGCAATGTCTCCTTAGTGACTTCTAGCCGTTGGTCTTGGCTCCTCCAGCCCTGTCTGCTGTGGTCATTGCAAGCCTCCCAGAGGGCATCAGATGTGGAGTGTAGGGTGACATGGGACAGGTCTGTAGCAATGTGATTTTGGCCAGATCTTCCATCACTTCAGTGCCCCCTGCTTTGTTCTTAATGAAGTTCAAGCAAATTATCTTCAGGACCTGCCACAAGGCGCATCAGTCCTGCAGAGGCAGATTGGAGCATGGCTGAGGTCCCAGAGGGACAGCAGAGATGTCCCCTCAGAGAAGAGTTGCATTGCATCAGCAAAGGGCGTCATCCTTTTTATAATCAAGTTAAAAAATGTATGGTCTCTGAGGTGCCTATCAAAGCCTCTGATATTGAGGACTAAGCAGTGTAAAAAGGCAGATAACAAACCCACACCAGGGTTTGCATATGCTCTTTGCTGCTATTCTGAGTTGTAGTTGAACGCAGTGAGAACTCTTCAGGGGCTCCCCAAAACTGTCAGTCTCTGCTGTTACTGTGGTAAACAGTGTTGTTTTAAACCAACCTCAGTCATCACTGATCTTAGGAGGGCTGCTTTTGTCGGCAATCCTGGTACCACCTTTTAAAAGACATCACTTTTGTCCATGCAG